GGTATACCATTTTAACAAATATTAGCGAGTTAAAAATAGAAGAGACAACTCATGGAGTGCGAATCTATTCAAGGTAATTTAGGCAGGTAGGTATTTCAATGCATATACCACTGGGCATGGATTCAGGAACACCTGAGGCTAAATCTGACTTCATACACTTTCTAGTTGTGTGACCCAGAGCAAGTCACAATCTCTGTTGGCATCAGTTTCTTCAACTGTAAAATAGGAACAATATTAGCACCTACCTTACAGGTATCGTAAAGATCAAATGAGATAATATTTGTGAAGCACTTAGCACAGTACCTAGCACATAGTAGGCATTTAATAAATCCTTCCCTCCTTTCTTCCTATATTAAGAATGTGAATCAGATATATAAATTCCTTCCCAATAGGCAACATGCACTCCAAAACTAAGATCTATCACAATTCATCCAGATACTGGCTGAACATAACTTCTTTAGAGTAGAGATGTTAATTAGCTGAATCAGAATAGAAATCAGTGTCCTGGTCACTAGGTAAAATCTTAGTTGAAAGCACAGTTCAACTTTGTGTTTTCTAGATGATATATCAGCAGCTTCTATTTTTAACAGAGAACAATAGAATTTGGTCTTAACAAACCAGGTTTGTTTTTTTTTTAAACTCTGTATTGCTTTTTCCATGCAAAATGAGAATGATAGTTATACTTATCAGAGACTGTAAATCATGGTGATCTCTATTAAATGAACTAATTCCTGTTACTCCAAGAAGCTGTAGCATGCACAGTGGCTACACCCCAGTCAACCCTCTTGGCAGATAGACTAAACCAGGTTGTGGTCTCAAACCCATCAGTAAATCAAGGGGCTGTCTACCCCCAAGAAAGTGAAGACTTCATCTGGTAGAATGGATAGATGAGAACAATTTATTCCAATGGGCATAAAAGAGATTGAAGCAGGTGCTGTGGAGAGCTTAAAGTCTGGTCAGAATCAAAGATGCCAAGGTCATCTACTGTATCCCAGGCCATCACCAGTCATGCTGACTTTTGTCTTGCCATTAGACTTCGATGACTTAGGAAGAGAGACGTGGATGACTTTGTGCAACTCTGCCTCACTTAAATTCAATTCATGAGCAAGTCAAGCTATCACCTCATGATGTCATTGGTGAAGAATGAACAATAATATCGGTGTATTACACGATACACAAGGTATTCTGCTATCTCCTGCCATTTGGTCAGAGCTAAATCTAGCTTTAGTGAATAAGATTTTTTTTTAAAAAGCAACATGTATAAAAGAAAGAGTATTAAATTAAGAATCAAAAGATCTAAGTCTAATTCCAGACTTCATTACCACCTAGCTATAATACGTGTAATGAGCAAGAAAGCATACTGGAAAGAGTTCAGAACTGGCATCAAAGAAAGTAGGTTCAAACGAAGGCTCTTACATTCATCAGTTGTGTGAACACAGACAAATAATTTTACTTTTCTGAACCTCTATTTTTCTTCCTCTGGAAAATAGGCACTTAGACCAGCGTTTCCTAAGGTTCCTTCATTTTCTGAATGTGAGTTTATGATCTTTCATCATGGACTCACCAAATGTCCTTTTCCCCTTTGAGGAGTATAGAAATAGGAGCTAACTGATATCTTGTATAAGCCATCTAACCTCTCTGCACCTCAGTTTCCCCTTTCCTTCCCTTCCTGGCCAATGAATACTAGTATGAGATATGCTTACTGGGACGCCTTAGAAAATCAAAGCTAGTGGTTTGTTTCTACTGGGGTTAATGTTTGTATTGTCGAGTAGATGATACAAACTAATGCTTGCACGCATTTGGCTTAATTAAGTTTGATTGCTAGCATTGAGAAGTGAAAGTCTAATTAGTGTTTCTTTTGTGCTAGTTAGCATAAGTTACAGAAAACTAGTAGTTTTATTCAAAGTAATGATATTTCCATAACTTTAAATTTCTGAAATAAGAAAAAATAAACATTAAAAAAGTAGGATCTTGAATTTTAAGAAATAGTTATACAACTTTCCAGAGTTATATGTGTCAAGCACCATACTTGGAGAGGAGCCAAATAGGCTCACATTTGTAAACATGCTTAAAAGTGTCAACCACTATCAATTTCTATAACATGGAAGCAATAAATTAATTTCTGATCATGCTATTTGATGTAAATAGTACATACCGGATTCATCTTTGGTATGTGCTAAAATTATAAAGAGGGGAAGAAAATAATACCACTGTTGCCACAATTGTTTTATGTGTCTAATTAATAAATATCCATGTACAGCTCACAAAAACTGAATGTGGTTTTTGATTTTTTTTCTTTTTTTTTCTTTTTAGGCAATTGAGGTTAAGTGACTTGTCCAGGGTCACACAGCTAATAAGTGTTAAATGTTTGGTCTGAGGCCAGATTTGAACTCAGGTCCTCCTGACATCAGGGCTGGTGCTCTATCCACTGCGACACCTAGCTATCCCTAAACATGGTTTTTGAAGAGCGATTTCAGTTTCATCATATATCTGTAAAGTTTGGCTATTTCTGATTATTCTTTTTAAAACACCACTCACATCATTTACTTGTTCAAAAATCTTCAACAGCCCCCTCTTATCTACAGGTTAAAGTTCAAACTCCTTAACTTTTCCTTACAGGCTTTCCATGGTTTGTGTCAACCTTATCTCCCATTATTCTCCCATATAAAAACATCACTCTGGATAAAATGTCTTCAAACATGCCTTGAGCTTTTGGTGTATTTGAATTATCTTTCTCATTTGAAATTTCATCTTCCTTCTTCTTCTACTATCAAATCCTACCCATCCTAAAAGTCCCAACCTAATCCTAATTCTTCCATTAAACGTTTTTCACCACACGAGCTAGCAGTAATCTGGCTCTACTCAAACAGTCAATTGAAAAGTATATATTAAGTATCTGTTTTATGTCAGGCACTGTTATGAATGCTAAGGATACAAAGGTCAAAAAATACTGTTTTCAAAGAGTCTAACTGGAGTTGATACCTCTGTGTGTGTATACGCATATATATGAATAGGCATAGATATACATATCTCTACATAGATGCCAATATCACTATAGATAGTAAGATATGTGCAAAATCAATACAAGATGATTTTGTGGAGAAGGCAAAAAAAAGCAGAGGAAAAGAGAAAATGCTTCATGTTGAATGTGGTTTTTGAGCTAAGTCTTGACGACTTTACTTGGCACTTACCATTTACTGACAATTTCTCATTGGTTCATATATAATCTCTTCAATTAGATCAAAAATTCTTAAGAGTGAGGGTCCATGTCTCATACTTCTTTGGATCCCAATTGATAGTACCTACCTCAGAACATTTTAGGTGCTAAATAAATGCTGAGTGATTAAATAATCATACAATCTTAAAAGATAATATTTGGGGCTAGATGAAAATCAAAAATGCCACTCAGTCATGAAAAAAAAATAAGCTGATACATGAAGAATAAACCACAGTCACAGAACTAATGTTACTATTAGACCAATGTTCACTGGAAACAAAGTGTTTATTAAAAAAGCAAATATTAAAAACTTCTGGCATGGTACCTAAATATAACTTGCATTCTAACCTTAGCAGGGAGAAGGAAGTAAGAGTTTTCTTGAGAGAAGCAATTCTTTCACATCATGAGAGTCTCTTTTAAGTATTTTTTACTCCAATATATCACCTCATACTACCAAAATAATTAATGCTCCTATAAAAGTAAAACAAATCCAGGAACATCAAAATTTTTTCCAACTTCAATTATAACTACTAATTGATCTAAGTTTGGAGCAAGCTGTTAGTCCCAAATTTTCTAAGAATTCATGCATGCAAGTTAATTTTTAAAAACAATTTTCTAACTCAGGATGGCTGCATATTGGAAGGCTAGTTTGGATTCCCTTCTCACTGAAAGATCTGGCAACAATTTCATTAATTTCATCAGTGCAGAAACTAAAACAGAATAATTCAGTTCTCAAATTCAAAGGTTCCTAAGAAAGAGCATGAAAGAGAACTATTCAACTGTTAGAAAATCAGCCTGAAATTTCTTTTTTTATTACTGTCAGAGACAGAGCTTCTTAAACTGCTTGAAACAGTGAAACCATGGTTCTAAATTGCTCAATATCATGGGGCACACGTCAACTGGACATTTTTCTGTGTAAAAATGCATTCCTACCTCTGATGTGAGCAGTTTTCTTCCAACATGCTGCTTAAGCAGATGCTAATGGGAATATCTTCTGCTGTCTATTAGCAGCAGTTTTAACACGAGCACTGAACAGAAGTAGAAACTGGCATCATCTATACCTATTATTAAATAGCAACAACAACCACAACAGACAGGAACTAATGCAATAAAGTCTCTTAGTGGGCAATAGACCTGGCATGTGTCTGTCTGAATTTGAAGATGCTTTTAAAACTTGAAGGCCAACTACAACCTCATAATTTGTAGCCCCACATATTTCTATATTCTATCACAAGTATGGGGCTAGAATCAAAAAATGTTGCATTGAGAAAAACATATTAACATGTAGAGATTTATCATGATATGGGGAAAAGGCCTCTGGTGTGCAAGTTCAGAATTTATCTCCAAAATGACCTAGTCTACAGAACATTTTAAAAGCCTGTAATATTCAATAGAAAATTTATTTCATTTTTTCCTTTCTGAACACGTTTACATTGTGCTGAAATGAGCAATGAAATTATGTTTATCAATTTCATTCAGTTAATAGCTGATATGATATGTCAATAGAGCATTAAAGGGTATTTCCATCCAGTTATTAAATGAAAAGTACTTCCAAGAGTCTTGTTTTTCTTTAAGTCTTTTTTAGAATAATGCTCACAATTCTTTTCATATCTGATTTTGTTCATTCAGGATTCAAGAATGACCTTTCTAATTAATTAAATATTATCAGATCCAGATTATTATACCATTTGTCAATATGTCTATATATCTATATCTATATGTATATATATGTATGTATAAACAAATAAGAAGACAATCAACCATTTTCCATAACTAATCATACCTGAAGAGAGATTCTCTCGACAGCCAAATTTCATTCTGTTTCACAGTTTTGCAGGAGAAAAGCAGCAGAAGCAATAAAGTAGACATTATCAAGGTAATGGCCCCACATCGATTTAACCATGTACAGAGCTTATTTAAACCATGGACAAAAAGGATGCAGTAGCCCATGCTGAAAAGAGAGAATGAAAAAAGTGTTGAATCCTGTATTCATGATTATTTTTTTCAATTATCAAGCATTTATTTTTTCTCCTGCCTTCCTCCCTCCTGCATCTGGAAGAGAAAATAAAACCTCATAACCCAAAAACTTAGTAAAGCAAAATAAATTCCCACATTGGTGTGTGTCTCATTCTGCATATCAGATCATCACCTTTCTGTTAGGAGGTATGCAGCCTTCTTTACTGGTCCTCTGGAATCTCAATTGTTTTTTTTTTTTTTACAGTGTTGTTGTCATAGTATAAATTATTTTCCTGGTTCCACTTGATTCACTACATCAATTACTATAGGTCCTCCCAAGATTCACTGATACCATCCTTTTCATCATTTCTTAAAGCAAAAGAGTAGTCTATTCCATTCATATACCATAATTTGTTCAGTCAGCCCCAGTGGAGGGGCACCTTTTTAGTTTCCAATTCTTTGTCACCACAAATAAAGGTTAAGGCTCCAGGGAGCCACTGGAAGTGGCTAGCTTCCTAGTCACTGTGAAAAAAAAAAAGAATACCATTGAAAGACTTAAGATCTCTGATTGGTGCAATGAGTGACCCTGACTCCAGAGCAGTGGTGATGAAGAATATTGCTTATCAGCAGATGAAGAGGTGTTGGATTCAAAATTCAGAATAAGACATATTTTTTGACATGGCCAATGAGGAAGTTTTTAACGTACAGCTACACATATTTGTCACAAGAGCTTCTATTTATTTGTTTATTTTCACGGGGAGCTGGGTAGAACAAAAACATAAATTTTTGCTAATTGAAAAAAATTTTAATTAAAAAAAAAGAATTTTTTTTACAGAAAAAAAGAAACACAAAGGATGACTTATACCAATTTGAAATATTCACTGAACTATTTCTCGGTATAAAAGCAGCATCAAATTTTCCGATAATGAAATAAACCCTTTCCCCTTCTACTATGGAGAATAACTATTCTCCAAACCCTTAGGCTTGCAACCTAGGAGTCATCATTAGTTTCTCATTATCTCTCACACCATCCCCCGCCATAATCAAAGTGTTGCGAAGATCTGTCTATTTCATCTTTGCAACATCTCTCAAATATGCCTCTTTCTCTCCCCTGACCTTGCCACCACTCTAGTGCCGGCCCTAATCACCTCACACTTTCCACCTCAAGTTTTTCCCCATTTCAAGCTATTCTTCTTTCAGTTACTAAAATGATTTTCCTAAAATGCACGTACTAATCATGTCACCCTTCCTATGCAATAAACTCAAGTGGCTTCCTATTGTTTTCAGGAGCAAATACAAAATGCTGTTTGGCATTCGAAGCCCTTCATAACCTAGCCCCTTCCTACCTTTCCAGTTTTCTGACATTCTACTCCTCAATGCCTAATCTTTGATGCAATGACAGTGGCTTCCTGGCTGTTCTACAAACAGGACACTCCATCTCTCAGTTCTGGGCATTTGATTGGTTGAAATTACCCATTTCTATACTTCAACTAACTTCTTCATGTGGTTTATATTTTACTAGACCTATGATTTCACTAATGTACTGAACTACAGGTGAAAAAAGTACTCGCATTCATGCAGATCAGCATCTACTCTTTTCCTTAGACTCTCAAAGAGTTGGAAGCATGGTAGAAGGAAGAAGTCTTTTAGCTTAGCACATTCATCACTCTTTGTCAATAAGGATGTAAAAAATGCAGTACACTGAATTCTGATTAGGAAAAGCAAAAAGAAGTTACAGTGAGTTATTTTTTCAGTCAGGGTGGCTTAAGGAGACAGAGGTCTGCAGACACTGGAAAAAGAGTCTGACCAGGAGAATACCATGGCAGCAGAAGTGGGGAGTAGTGCAATGCCCAGGGATGGAAAGAGAACAAGAAGCACTGGGGCAGAAAAAGATCCCAGGAGATCTACAAATAAGTGCTGGGTGCAGGAATGGGTGCCATCTAGCAGCTGTGCCTTCCCTATCAAGTTCTAAGTCACAGATCCACAGTGGAGAAAAGTAGTTACAAGTGTGGGCCCAAGTTGTTTAAGGAGCACAAAAGTTAGAGGAAGGAAACTGTGGCGCCTAATCCCAGGAACATAATATAGTTCTCTAGACAAAAGGATATCCAGCAATTTAGGCTCTGAACCTGCAAAGCTTCTCAGAGAACCAGCAGAGACTTGGTCAAGAAGTCTACTAAAACGTCCAAGCAAAAAGAAGCCAGTAGACCAAAACCTGGGTCAAGAAATTGCAGCACAGCAGTGAAGAGACCTATCTCCAAACAACAACACTTTGGTTGAAGTGAAACCTTAAAGGCTTCTAGGCAGAGCTGTGAAAATAGCAAAAAGATGCAAAGGACAGAAGCTCAGGCCATCTATCTTCCACAGAGCCACAGTTTACCCGTCAGGTCTATGATAGTTTACCTGCCAGATCTACGGAGAAGGGAAGAATTTTTGACCAAACAAGAGACAGAGAATATTATGAAATGCAAAATGGATAATGTTGATTACATTAAATGAAAAAGGTGTTGTACAAACAAAGCCAATGCAACCAAGATTAGAAGGAAGGCAGAGAGCTGGTAAACAATTTTTATAGCCAGTATTTTTGATAAAGACCTCATTTCTAAAATATATAGAGAACTGAGTCAAATTTATAAGATTACAAGTCATTCCCCAATTGATAAATGGTCAAAGGATATGAACAGATAAGTTTTAAGATGAAGAAATCCATATTAAACCAGTGAGACAGTGACTTAACTACCCTTAAAGATGTAAAATGGTGCTTCCATTTGTATGAAAGGAAATTAATGATTCAGAACACTTTTGTTTCAGGTCCTTTTAAAATTAAAGATGTCCTTATAAATTGGGGATGACGTGATTGAATTTTTATTAAAAATTGAAAATTATATGAAAGTGTGTAATATCCTTCTTTATTTTCAAGTTCCTCATTTGTCACAAATCCATTCAGATGCATTTTTCATTTCTCTCTCTCTCCAAATCTATTTTATCCAAATTCTTCCTACATGTTTTTTATTCTTTCATGGACCCCTTCCTGAAAATAACATACTGTTTCTATCTTCCTTAATTAATTTCTGTTTTTCCACAACTTCAACTTATTCAAGGTATCTTAAAACAGCATAGGAATTTGTTCTTTGACACTAATATGAACAAATCACCCTTCATCTTGCACAACTATGAGCCATCAAGACCCACTATTGCTTTTATTCGGAAGTTTTTGCTTGATGTTTCTACCTTATCAATGTGAAAACATTTTAGAGTCACCTGAAATACACTATTGGGAGTTTTTATGCTGAAATAAAAATCCCATTTAAAAAAAGCTGTGAAACAATATGCTACTCTCGTCACAATGTAACCCACTATTTTTGTAAAAGACTGATCTTCAGAAAGGTCATTTATAAAACTGCTAGTATCCACCTTGACGAAAAGATTGTTCCAACTTATTCTGGTAATGAAATTGATCCTCAAAGTCATGCTAGGCTGAACATATACCTATATGTCATATAAACAGAAATTTCCAGGCTCACAGTCTCTTTCATTAACAGATTTCAAAGTACAATTCAGGGAAAGTTGGAACTCTGAGTCTCTATTTTTCCTTATTGGAATGGAGGAAACATGGGAACTTAGGAGTATTAAGTAACTTCATTAGGGTCAAACATTAAAGCAAGGGGGTAAAATGGTACTAATAGTATCTAACTAATATTTATGTGATTATCTTAAGACTATTGAGACTCACGTACTTCATGGGTACTTATCACAGTGTCTGACACATCGGAGGCATTTAAGAAATACTTATGGTCTTGATGTCAACAGATTATTTTGAATCAAGTGCTATATTTTAGGCTTGTTTTTTGTTTCAAGGTAAGAATCTATGGGTATCATTTTATCACACATTAAGCTTAAGAAATCATTTCACTGAGTAGAAAGTTCATCTTTCTTAATATTATTACCAACTGATGATCTTTATTCAGTTATCCCCACTCTCCTCTAGAATCTTTAGGACAAGTACAGGTATACACAAAGATGGCAAAGAATGCAGCAGTATTGAGAGAAATGCTGTTGTAAAACTGCCTAGCAAGATCTAAGGGGATAGGGTTGAAGGTAAGGGGTTCAGAAGGGTTTTACACAAAGCAAGAAGGGATTGAAATAATTAGAACTTAAAAACAGATCTAAGATTCTTCTGAGGTGTGGGGAAAGACTTAAAAGGTCATAAGATCAGAGGATTTTGTTGTTGTTCAGTTGTTTCAGTCTTGTCAGATCTGTGACCCCATTTGGAGTTTTCTTGGCAGAGATACTGGAGTGATTTGCCATTTCCTTCTCCAGCTCATTTTACAGGTAAGGAACTGAGGTACACTGAGGTAAAAATGACTTGCCCAGGGTCACACAGCTGGTAAGTGTCTGAGGACAGATTTGAACTCATGAAGATGAATCTTCTTCATCCCAGGCAAGATCCTTCAAATTGATGATCCCGTTTTTATTATTTTTTTTATCTTTAAAAAAATTCCATGTTATTCCGAACTTGACCAAAACCAACATATATAAGCATTTTCTTATGCACAGAATTTAGCACATGGAACCACAAATCTTCATTATCTATGGCTTGCTTTTATAATTGGTACATTCAGGATATTAATTCCAAAGTTCTGCCACTCATCTGTGTTTATCTCTAAACTTCCTCCTGTTCTTTATAGTTTTTAAATGCTCCATTGGTGTTCATAATTTTTCATACTTTATTTGTAATGCTTCACTCATAGTCTTATATTCTTTTCCACTTGCCTCACTATCATAGTTAAGTAGCATACTGACAGAGTTCTGGAAGCAGACCCACATCTGAGTTCAAATCCTGCATCAGGCATCTACTAGTTTATGACCCTAGGTAATTCATTACAAACTACACATTAGCAATATCCAAAAACGTATCTCTCATTCTTGACCTCTAGTCTATCACTTCTCTGTCAAGTTTGAAATAAGAATGTTGAAGCTTTGGACCTAAGGAGTCAT